GGATCAGTCAGATATGTGTGGTAGGGAGGAGGCCAGCCGGCCGACGACACGACGACGATGAGGGGATGACCCCTCGTGCGCGCGCAAGCCAGCTCGCTCCTTTATCCTATACCTGTCGAGTCTGAGTGTCTGCAGACGACCAGTCAGCACAACAGCAGCGATGGCAAGGGCAACAGGATGGTGGCGCGGAGAGAAGCGTATTAATTCCCATGGCTGCGGCTCCCACGCGCGGCGAATCCTACGCTGGCGAAGCGCAAAGCGCCCATGGACGAACTGTACGGCGACCAGAAGGCGCTCGACCAAGCGGAGAAACGGCGGGTCCCTCGGGCGGTGGCTCCCTCGTAGTGGTTTCAACCTTTGGGCGATGGCGTCCATGGGCCATCATCGCTTCGGTTCCTCCGGGCCTGTAGTGCCTGGGACAGATCGCTCCTGCCTCACTCTCAGGTACTGCAGCACGCAGAGGGGTGCGCCGCGACACACTGCGAGGTCCATGCTGGTGCTGCACACCAGCGTGGTCGGCTCCCCGCCGGTGCCCACCTAGACGAATTTTGTCCTTCGACACCCTCGAGATCATGCAGAACCAGATCTTCATCACCATCAACATTATCATCACCATCATCATCATCACCATCATCATCACCATCATCATCATCATCATCATCATCATCATCATCATCGTCATCATCATCATCATCATCAGCACTATCATCAGCATCAGCATCAGCATCAACATCAGCATCAGCATCATCATCATCTTCATCATCATCATCAACATCACCATCATCCTCATTATAATAATCAGCATAATCATCATCGTCATCATCATCAGCATCGTCATCACCATCATCACCATCACCATAAACATCGTCATCATCATCAGCATCATCAGCATCATCATCAACATCACCTCACCATCACCATCATCATCAGCAGCATCAGCATCATCATCATCATCAGCATCAACATCATCACCATCAGCAGCGTCCACAGCAGCATCCACAGCAGCATCATTATCATAAGCATCAGCAGCTTCATCATCGTCAGCAGCACCACCATCATCACCATCAGCATCATTATCACCATCGTCGTTGTCCCCGTCATCATCATCGTCATAATCATCAGCATCGTCATCATCATCACTAGCAGCAGCATCAGAATCGTCACCACCACCACCAACACTGCGATTATCATCATCATCAACACCACCATCATCAACATCATCATCCTACTTCTCGAGCTCAGCCCAACCACCCCTATCGTCCGCCCCTTCCCTTCCTCCCCTGCCCTCCCCTCCGTCCCTCCCTCTTGTGTCGTCGGCAGGCCGAAGGAGATTCGTGCATGGCGGCTGCGAGGCATCACGTGCTGGGGCTAATCTTGGCTTCATCATCCCTCTCCGCCCTGTACCAGTGTCCCTCATCCTGATTCTCATCCCCATCCTCCTCATTCCTATCCTACTCCAACTCTTCCTCCTCCTCCTCCTCCTCCTCCTCCTCCTCCTCCATCCCTTGTCCTCATGAATCACTTCTCCCTGCAGAACCCCGAGACGCGTCGCTAGGGCGGGCAGCGCGTTTCGACTGAGACTTCCTCTCCGCGTATCATAACTAAGCTGAAATGTGACGAAAGCTTCACGGATGAAGGGCGGGTGGTTTTCAAAATGTAGCTCTAGCCGTAGCGCCGCGCACATTCCTCTTAAACATGCGCAAGAGCTTCACGGATGGAAGGCGGGTGGCTTTCAAAATGAACCCGGCGCGACCCCAATTAGGGGAAAATGTCCTATTGCATGGGCGCAGTGTTTGGCAGTGCTTGGCATTTGTTTGGCAGTGCTTGGGATTGCTTTGCATTGCTTGGCATTGCTTAGCATTACTTGGCATTGCTTGGCATGAGGCACCCGAGGAAACCGGGGAACCTCCGAGCAACGGGCAAAGTAACCCCCGAGGCAGCAACCTTCAACCAAGTAAGAACCCCTTAGGCAAGCCATATTAGGGAATGTGTATTTCGCATCAGCGCCGCGCACGTTCGCCTTCAAAGTGCGCAAGAGTTTCGCGGATGGAGGGCGGGTGGTTTCCAAAATGTGGCTCTCACCCCAGCGCCGTGCGCATTCGTTTTACGTGTGCAAGAATTTCACGGATGGAGGGCGATACCCCGTTTAAACATGTGTCTCTCTCCTTTGCGCCGCGCACATTCGTCTTAAGAGTTTGCAAGAGTTTCGAAGATTCTCATTATTGGCGTCCCAGAGCTGGTGTTCTGGCACGATGTAAGACTGCCAGGGCGCAACAGTCAGGTTGATTGATTCAGGGTGTTGAATTTCCAAGAGCGCTGTTCTGGTACGAGTCAGGATCGTCAGGACGCAACAATAACTATAATTCGTGGCGTTAGAAAATCCCAAGAATGGTGTCCTGGAACAGTTCACGATGTTCAAAAGGTTGTCTTCCGACGGGGCATTTCCTCGGTGAGACTAGATCCTTGTAGGGACCCATGAAGAGGGACCTTGGAGGAACGGTTGACTGCAACATCGTTGACGAGTTTTGGATTTACACTGGCCCTCCTACTCTTCCTCCTCCTCTCTCCTCTTTTCATCCTCCTCTTTCCCGTCTTCCTCCTCCTGCTCCATCCCTCATCCTCTCCTCCTTCTGCTCCTCCTCCTCCTCCTCTTCCTCCTCCTCCTTCCCTGAATAGATTGTCTGTCGGACTATGCAATATTTTGCCGTGTCATATCCATATTGGGATTCGCATTCGCATTCGCATTTGCAGTCGCAGTCACCTTCGCATTCGCATTCGCATTCGCATTCGCATTCACAGCTGTACTCGTACTAGTACGCAAATATAGGTACTGGGTATGAATATGAATATCATTATTCGCACTGGAAGTAGTCTTATGTCTAGCTGCAGCATATCTATAAGTACGAGCATGAGTATGAGCATTAGGACTCGCACTCGAATTCGTACTCGCATAAGTAGCAGCATGTGTATAAGTAGCAGTGCTGATAGTACTACGGATAACGCAATGAACATTGGTAGTCGCATGGATATAGTATTCATGTTATGCACCCTATCCAACGGATGGGGTTCTTGTCAACAGTCCGACCGCGTCGACTCCTCACTCACACACCTCCCTCCTCCTCCTCCTCCTCCTCCTCCTCCTCCTCCTCCTCATCCTCCTGCTCATCCCCCTTCTCACTCCTTGAGTGATGGTATGATGATATCTGTGATGGTGATGACGATGACGATGATAATGATGATGATGATGATAATGATGGCGAGGGACGTGATGCACAGAGAGGATAATGATACTCACGATGACTGCTGATGATGATGCTGCTGGATATCATGATGCCGATGATGAGACTAATGATTATGTTGATGATGGTGATGGTGACGCTGATGATGATTATGATGATGGTGGTGACAACAACTACGATGATGACAATGATGCCGATGATGCGGATGATGATGCTGATGATAAGCAGGGTGGTGGTGGTGTTGTTGATGATGATGACAAAGCTGAAGATGACAGCAATGATGATACTGACGATGCTGATGATACTGATGAGGCTGATTATGATTATGGTGTTGATTATGCTGCTAATGATCATGGTGGTGATGCTGAGGATGATTGTGATGATGATGATGATGATGATGACGATGATAGTGATGGTGATGGTGATGATGAAGCTGATGATGATGCTGCTGATGATGATGATAAGCAGATTTTAAGGTTGTCTCGGGCGAGGCGCTGGTTTCAGCACTCCCAAGGGGGAGCCGCCAGGGGGTATCTCACTCCTCCGTTCGCGCCCAAATTGCGTACACGTCTCGAGCGGTTTGCCTCTGATGCCTAACATCCTCCGCTTTCGGAAAAGATGTTGAGGATGTCTCGGGCGAGGCACCGGTTTTCGCCCCCCAGGGCGGCCGCCAAGGGGTATCTCACTCTTATGTTCGCGCCCCAATTGCGGGGATGCCTCGAGCGGCTTGCCTGTTTAGCCTTCGCTTTCGGAGCAAAGTTTGAGGATGTCTCGGGCGAGGCACTGGTTTTCGCACTCCAGGGTGCCCAGGTTGCGAGGATGTCTCGGGTGATTTGCCTGTTTTGGTGGCCAGACTCGCCTGCGTTCGGAGCAGATTCTGGGGATGTCTCGGGTGAGGCGATGATTTCAACACCGCAAGGGGCACAGATTGAGAGGATGTCTCAGACTCGCTTACGTTCAACCTCACTCGTGCTCACACTCACTCATACTCAGACTCGTACTCGTCGTACTCATACTCAGACTCACTCACACACATATTTGCGCACACTCAAACTCACTCACACTTAGACCCACCCACCGTCAGACCCACTCGTAGTCAGACCCACTCGTACTCAGACCAGCTCAGACTTAGACTCAGATTCATCAGACTCATACTCAGACTCACCCGCATTCAGGCTTACCCATACTCATAAACACTCACACTCAGACGCACCCACCATTATATCAACTCGTAGTCAGACTCACTTGTACTCAGACCCATTCAACCTCAGATTCATACTCATTACACCCATGCTCAGACCCACTCACCCAGATTTACCCACCCTCAGAGTCACGCTCACCCGAATCCTCTCATACTCTGACTTAGGCATTATCACACCCACTCGTACTCAGACTCTCTCGTACTTGGACTAACTGTCACCTGGGTTCCAGTGGCCGAGGGTATATCCCAAACTGGGGTGCTGAAGTGGTGGGGGTTTGGATGGGGATGGGGATGGTGATTGGGGTCTGTTGAAAGATGCGGACGGAGGGCCGAGTTCCCTCACCCTGCCGCGGGAAGGCGGGAAGGAACTGGCGGCGCATATAAGGGAACGGGGTCGGGGGATAGGCTTCTTGGAAGGAGATTGCTTCTTAGGCGGCGCTGGCCCGCGCCTCCTACGAAGTAGAGGTGTTTCTGAGAAGCCTTCCCCCTTTCCCCTGCCCCCCCCCCTGCGCGTGGCCGAAATGAGGGCCGAACGAACTCCCGCCCTCTGGCGGCCTCTCCTGGAGGAAGGGCGGGCAGCGGAGGCTCGACCGCGGTGACCAAGTCTGGCAGTTGCCTGCACTGCTCGAGCCTCGGAACCGCCAGGGGTGGGGGGGGAGCGCGCGCAGGAGAGCCAGCGAGGGAGGGGGAGGAAGCAAGGGAAACTGGGATGGACGGCCACCTCCTCCAACTCTCCCTCCCTCTCCCTTCCTCGCCCTCCCTTTTGCTCTCCCCCCTTTCTCCCTCCCTCGCCGACTGTCCCTCCTTCTCCCTCCCCCGCCTTCCCTCTCTATTCCTCCCCCCCCCTCCCTCTCCCTCCCCTGGGGAAGGAACAAGGGGAAAGGGAAAGGAAAAGGCAGAGGAAGAGCGCAAGGGATAAAGGGGGACAGGAGGGAGGAATTGTGAGAGAGAGAGAGGGAGGGGGAGAGAGAGAGAGAGAGAGGGAGCAGAAAGAGGGAGGGAAAGAAAGAGAAATATAAACAAAACAACAATACAAAAATGGCATATAAATACAAAGAAGCGGATAAAGACAAATATACACGCAAACGCACACACACATATATTTATATATAACACATATGTGTATATATGCACATACATATATACGTGTGTATACATATATGTATATGTGTATATGGAGAGCTATGACACATGAGAGAGAAAAAGAGAGTGAGAGAACAAGAGACAAACCAATATATATATATAACAAAAATGAGAGAGGGGGGAAGAGAAGAAGAAAGAGAGGAGGAGAGATAATACATCTGCAAACACGTATGTTTGCCATCGCGGGCTCCATGACATGAGTTGCTGCACTCTAGATGCGCAACGTACGTTGCGTGATAGACATACACGAGAACCACGCACGCGTCGCGTGATTGGGTTTTCGACGCGCCCGGCGAACTCGGATCGCACGTTGCAGCGGGAGCTCGGTATCATCTCGAAAGAGAGAAGTAGAGAGAAAGAGAGAGCAAGTGACAAAGAGAGAGAGAGAGAGAAAGAGAGAGAGAGAGAGGAGAAAAAGAGAGAGAGAGAGAGAGAGAAACGAAACATGATAAAGGGAAGAAGAGGGATAACGAGAAAAAACATGATATTGACAGATAACGTGAGAGATAGAGAGTGAGAGAGAGAGAGAAAAAGAAAGAACACAACAAATACAGAGAGAGCGAGAGAGAGAGGAAAACAAAACGAACAAAAAGGAGAGATAGAGAGAGATAACAAAAAACAGAGAGAGAGAGAGGAACACAAACAGAGAGAGAGAGACAGGAAGAGAGGGGGGAGTGAGAGAGAGAGAGAGAGAAAGAAAGAAAACAACAAACAAGAGAGAGAGAGAGAGAGAAAAAAAAAAAAAAAAAAAAAAAGAGAAACGAGAAAGAGACAGTGAAAGAGAGAGAGAGAGAGATAATGATATCATGAGAAAGAGAGAGAGAGAGAGAGAGAGAGAGAGAAAGAAAAGAGAGAGAGAGAGAAAAAAAAAAAAAAAAAAAAAAAAAAAAAAAAAAAAAAAAAAAAAAAAAAAAAAAAAAAAAAAACGAGAGAGAGAGAGAGAGAGAGAAAGAGAGAGAGAGAGAGAGACAGACAGAGACAGAGACAGAGACACAGACAGAGACAGCGAGAGAGAGAGAGAGAGAGAGAAATAACAAAAGAGAGAAATAGAGAGAGAGAGAGAACAAAAAAAAAAAAAACATACATACGGACAGACATATAGACAGGCAGGCAGACCGACCGACCGACCGACCGACAGACAGACCGACCGACAGACAGACAGAGTGACAAACAGAAGAGGAGGGCGCGGACTCCGAGCGTGAAGCCCCACGAGGGCGACCGTTGCACGACGCCCGAGCGACCAAGCATCGGCCACTCCCCGGGGGGAGGGGTTGCGCCAGCCGGGGCCCCTTTAGACTCCGTCACCAGGTGGCGCCGCCACGACCGCGTGGACGGTGTAGCGGCGCTTCTCGAAACTGCCGCCAGCGCCCGCCCGCCGCCGCAGCTTCCGGCGCAGGCCCGCGCCGGCCCAGGGCTCCTGGCCGAGGTGCCCAGCAGCAAGCGGGCAGCGCCCCCGCCCGCTGCCCGGCCGGCGTCGCCGGCCGCCGTCGCGGCGGCTGCGCGCATCGCGGCGCCCCGCGTCGTCGGCGGCTGGCTGCCCGCCGCTTGCGAGTTGGCCGCCGCGCTAGCGTCGCCGCCCGGCGCCGCGCCGCCGCCTCGCTCGCTAGCCCCCCCCCGCCTGGCGCGCCGCCTAGCGCACGCCAGAGAGAGAAGCAGAGAGAGAGAGAGAGATAAAAAAACAGAGAAAAGGGGGGGGAGGGAGTCGGAAAAAAACAAGGTGAGAGGGACGGGAAAATGGTGGCAACTCCCTGCTGGACAAGGAAGAGTCTCCCTGGCAATTTGCCGCCGATCAAGCACAAATCCATCGGCCGACAGCGCCAAGAGGGCCCATCCCGCACGCCCCGCACCCCCATCCCCGCCCCCTGTCTCCTGCCGACTCGTTCCCCCGCCCCACCTTTCCCATCGTTCGCCGCTCCTCCCCCCGCTCCCTCCACATCCTCCACCCCAGCCCATCCTCCGAATTAGGTCTTCCCCGCCTGATCCATTCCCCACTCCCCCACCCCCCCGTTCCCTCCCCCCCCCGCCTTCCCCGTTCCCGCGCCATCGCCCAACCCGCCACCACCTTCGTTTGCCCCCCACCACATCCGCCCCGAGAAGGAGGAGGAGGAGGAGGACCATTGCAAACCCAAGACCCATCAACGATCTTGGAATATGCCCTCCCTCCACGCTCCCTCTTCACAGGCCCTTACACGGGTAACTTTCCACTTGGGAAGGTGCCCAGTTGGGAGACAACCGTTTGAAGATCCTGAGGCGTGCCAAAACATTATTCTCACGACTTCAACGCCACGGGTCATTGTCTTGACGAGCCTGCATCGTACCAAAACCATTTTCCTGGGACGTCAACACCGCGAATCAACGTGACTGTTGGGGCCTGACAATCCTGAATCGCTCCAAAACACCATTTCTGGTACGTTGACCGTGAGAAACACTGAAACTCGTGCGAATGTTTAAAAACGAATGTGCGCGTCGCTAAGGCAAGATCCCCATAGTGAAAAAAACGCCTTCAATCCGCGAAACTTTTGCAATTTGCCTTAACAAATGTGCGCGGCGCTCAGGCGAGAACCAAATTTTGAAAACGGAACGCCCTCGATCCGCGAAAATCTTGCAATGTGCAAAAATGTGCGCGGCGCAAAGGCGATGGCAACATTTTGAAAACGGGCAGCTCTCAATCCTTTGCACTGTTGCAAAACATGTGACAACGAATATACGCACCAGTAAAGCGAAACACATTTTGAAAACGGGCCACCCTCAATCCGTGAAACTGTTGCCAATGTTTACATCAGGCTCATACACGGTAAAGAAGTGTCAGGCGAAACGCATAGCCCGCCTTTCTGGCTGGCCTCGGGGTGCGACAGCGAGGAGTTATTCAGAAGGAAAAGGAATAGAGGAGGAGGAGCAGCAGCAGCAGCAGGAGGAGGACGACGACGACACCGAGGAGGAGGAGGAGACGGAAGAGGTGGACGCCGACGACGACAGGGAGGATGAGGACGACGAGGTCCCCAGAAATACCCCCAAAGAAATCTGTCCCTTCCCCCCTCGCCCAGAAGGCCGCCCCCCAGCGGCGGCGCGGCCGCGGCCGGGGCCCGGACACCTCGTTCACCTTGTCCTTTATCACGCCGATCTCTTTCTGCGCGTCGTACATCTTGCGCACCTGGGCCCCCGTCTTCGGACGGCACGAGCTGGGGAGGTGGGGGCGTGCCGACGAGGAGGAACGGGCGGGTTGAGCCCGTGGAGGCGCTCACTATTCTTGCTCGTCCCCTGGTGGGACTCTGTCCTTTACAACGCGAGCCTGTTCGAATTTGGGGGGTGGGCATCGTCTGTAAGCCACCTGACTTGACCGGCGCTTGCGTCCAGCGGCCGACGCCGCAGCCAATTTGGACTCAGGTGCGTGCCTCTTGCAATCTGCCTACGAGGAGCGAGCGGGTGGGCGAGGCACCGATCCCAGGCCGTAGAGGGCGACGGCCAAATTCGAAAACTGACCGAAACCGACCGAAATCGACAGGCCCGCAGCAGCGTAGAGGGGCGCAGCGACGCGGCAACGACACAACTCGCCGACCCAACGGGCGAGAAGCGTGTAAAATTTCCAATAAGAGCTTAAGAATGTTTCTAGTTCGCGCGCGCGTGGCGGCCCGTGGGGGTCCCTGGGCGAATCCCCAGCAATGTCCCAGCAAGTCTGGGCCAGAGGCGCCAGAATTCCTCGGCGCGGCCTTGGGGGCCCTTGGAACGCCCAAGGAGGCGCCAAATAGGTGGCAGGCCCCTTGACCTCTCAGGCCACGAGCGGCCCAAGATGGCCCAAGTTGGTCTCAAGACGGCACAAGAGGCGCCCCAGACATCCCAGGAAGGCACAGAAAGAACCCCACCCCAAGACGGCCCAAGAGGCCTCCCCAGATGGCTCCAGAGGCTCCAATGAGGGCCCCCCAAAGGGGTTCAACCGAACAGACAGATCGAGACTTCCCAAAAATTGCCCCCCCAGACCGCAAGCAGGCCCCCAGGAAACCCTCAAGAACTTTAAAGCTGGTCGGGCAGCCCAACCACATGCTTCGCCGAAGGCGAAGCATACGTCCAACCCTGTTGTATCGTATGAACGATAGTGCCTGAAGTAGGAAGGAGCCGCGTGAGCGGCGATGGTACATCTCAAGAACAAAGTGTGGAACTTGAGGATGTCCTTCGGGCTCTGTTTTGAGTACATCCAGGGCTGCTGTGGGGTCGTGTCGTTGCCTGTGGAATCAATAGGGAAGCCTAGGTTTTGGCCGCCCCGCCGACGCATCCAAAAAAACCCGCCGACGCATCAAAACAACTCGGCGACGCATAAAAAATACACCAAAATCCCAAACATGCGTTAAACCGACCCACCGATGCATTCTAAACAACTATAGTTATTCAGACGAATGCGCAAATACAGGGAAACATATCCATTTTTAAAACATTCAGGGGCTGATTTTGGGGGGGGAATTCGATTTCTCCAGGGGCCCAGTTGCCCCAGATACCACCACTAAATGCTCTTAAGAGGCCCGCCAGTGGGTCCCAGGGACCTCCCAGGATAGGAAACTTCCATGGGGCACCTCCTGGCTGGCCGATCTCTTATCCCACGTTCGGACTGTAATTACGAGTTCCTCGTGTTTTTTATCACCAAGTGCGGCCACTAGGAGGGAAGGGGGTGAGAGGGAGAGAGAGGAGAGAAGGAAGAGAGGAAGGAGGAGGAAGGAAAACCGTCGCCGTCGCCGTCGTCACTGCCGTCGGCGACGGGGGGGGCTCGAGACGGCGACGGCGACGGCGACGGTTTTCCTTCCTCCTCCTTCCTCTCTTCCGACGGGAACGAAACTAGGACCCAGGACCTGGCCCAGGACCCAGAAGAGGAGACCCGTCGCCGTCGCCGTCGCCACTGTCGTCGCCGTCGCCGTCGCGGTCGCCGCCTCGAGCCCCCCGTCGCCGTCGCGACGACGACGCGACAACGACGACGACAAGGGAAACGAAACGAGGGCCCAGGACCGAGAAGAGGAGAGCCGTCGCTGTCGCCGTCGTCATTCGCCGTTCGCCGCCGTCTGGGGAGGCGCGGGCCCCCTCGGACTTCTCGGTCGAGCGCAGCGCCCGACGATCTCAGCGTTGCAACGTTGGGCCCTTGTCCCAGGGCCCACGGGTTCCCTACCAGGCGGCTCGGCGGAGCGGGCGAGGTCGCGCATGCGTGCTCCCCTTCCCTTCCCTTCCATTCCCTTCCCCCCCTGCTGCTCGTGCGTTCCCTTATCCTGCTTTTCCTCCTTCCAAGTCCTACTCCCGTTTGTGTCCTTTCCCCTCTCCCCCTCACCCCTCCTCTCCCTCCAGATCTAAACAGCTGCCTGCCGCCCCACGTCAGGACTTGAATTCATTCAACGCCAGCTGAGTTGACCAGCCGACATCATTTAAATGCCCAGCTCTTGATATATGAGGCCCAGGTTTTCACCATACGTTTGAAACTCACGAAGTACCCCGAAACAAAACTGATGTTTACTGCGGGCTCGCGGCCTTGCCTCCATAAGAAGAGATGGGCTCACACCCCGAAGCGTGCAGGATTCCTCGGATCCCCCATCAGGCCCATCACCGCACGAAGTTCTTCGACTGGCTCTAGGACACGACCTATACCTCGATGGGCCCCAGGGGTTAGATCAGGAGGCGTTCCCAGGGCGCCCCACTCGGACCTTAGGCACACGAGCCTGCTGCCATCGCCGCTGGCAAATCGGCATCCGTGGATGGCAAGTGCCCTGGACAGCACGTTCTCTGACATGCGCCTGGCAGTGAGCCAAAATGGCTCCACCGAAGGTCGAGATCTGCAAAACGTTGCAGTGCAATGCAGTGTAAATCAATGCAAGTTAATGCAACGCAACACAAACTCTTGACGCAACGCAATGCACATGCAATGTAATTATTTCTTTCAGGCCGTAGATCAACGCAATGCAATGCAATGGAAAGCTGCTCTATGTTATTTGTTTCGGCATGTATTCCTCCTTTTTTTGCCGCCTCGCTCTAGTCCTCATCCTCCCCTTCCTCCCTCATGTATTGTTTTTCTTTGCCTCCCAACGATTTTGGTGTCTGTTTCATAGGCGCAAGGCAAGGAAAATAATATGTTGCTATGAACAATAACTGCTCTGCTATAGGACATCACTGGCAATATACTCTAGGTGTGGCGTTTTTTTCCAATACGCATGTGTGTTGTTTTGCATGTGTATGTGAAGAGTCACCCTAATTCTTTAGATGGTGGGACCACAAAACGAACATGTGCTTCGGAAATATCAGCAACTCCCAGGACGCCCTCTGGAAACAGCTAAAAACCGACTTTGCGTGTCGATTTTCCCATTCGCGACGCTAGAAATCGCAACAGATCCTGCCCCGCAGGCCGACCCCACAGGCCGACCCCACAGGCCAGGAGGTGGCCAGGATGGACGCGGAACCACATCCCCAGCTACATCCTCATGTGGAACTTTTTCTGTCTCGATGTAAGGTAGCGGGCCGCGGCGCGGCCCGGTCAGATAGGCGGCCGGTCACTGGGCCAAAATGGCCGCGGACAAACACTCGACGCATCTCGCGCTTGCCCTTCCTCCTTCAGAACCGGGAGGGGGAGAAGACGAAGCACGAGTCCGCTACACATTGCACACGAAAGGCGGCGGCCGGCGGGCTCAATCTAAGCAGGTTACCCCGCAGCGTACTTATCCTCGGGCGGGTCAGATGGCCTTGTCTGGCCCGCCCTGTAGGGAGTGTGTCATTTCAAATCGTGCTCGAAGGAGTGAGCTCCTTCCATGACTTGCAGGAGCATGTCTCTGTCGATGCTCCCCTTGGTGTGACCATCCGCAGTCATATCGCGAGTGTCACACCACTGAACAAAATGCACGATACCGCGCTCCATCACTTGCCGTATCCAACTGATGCGATCCAAAAGTGTACATTCAATCGGCTTATTCAGGTCTTTGCTTGACAAGGACTTGAAGACGGTTTCAGCACCCATGGTCAGAGTGACCTTAATGCTCAGGCCGCCCATCTCAAGTATATTATTCAGTTGAGTGGGTGTCAGCAGCCCTGCGTGGAGTGCGTGTAGCGTGACAACCGTGGGATAGCAGTCTTCCAAGTCATGGGATGCTGCCAGTGTGTCAGCTGAGTAGCTCGAGCGGACTTGCAAGCGGTGAGATTGCAGCGCGCGTCAACAAGATGGACGACGCTCTTACCAGCGCGCGCGCGTCCACGCCTGAGCAGGTTTCCCACGCGAGTACCGTGGCCTTTGCCTTCGTCATCGGCATCGCCGTTCAGGTGGCGGTAGCCGGAGTCGCTATGCAGATCGACCTCGCCCGTTGGTGTCATCGCTTGATAAGCGATCTTCTTGGGGCAGGCCTGCAACTTCCTGGTAAGCGTGCTAAGTCGTCGCAATTGCATCTCGGTCGGCACTTGGTCGCGCTGTAGTGATACAACATATACTAAGAATCACACTTGCGTGGTAAGAGCGTACGCCAGAGCGACTGCGAGGCCGGCGAACATATCAGCGACCAGCTTCGATGCCTCAACCTCAGCATCTGCGCCCGTGAGCTTATGATGCTGGATAAAATGGAGCTGTTTATGTATTCATCTTGGCCAAGGGTAACATCGCCATCGCTGTCATCAACATAGAGCACAACACAGTTGGTATACGCATGGTTGCTGAGTTCGCACTTCTCAAGAGTACCCTCAACACGCTTGACGCACTGGTCGACGGTGTCCTCGGTGCCGGCCACGTTCATATCATCGGCATGTTTGGCAGCGAGAAGGCCAGGGCTCGCCTCGAATTCTTCGTCGCAAGACGTGGATCTGAGCCGAGAGCCTCTCGCGGTCTTTTGAGCTTCAGCGAGAAGGCCCTCGGCGCATCTTTGGCGCCAGTGCCTGGTTCAAGGCGCTGCAGACAGCGTCTTGACTCATCATAGCGCTCGAATCCCGGGAGATCTGAGCGCCGATGCCGGACAGCGCGGCAACGCAAAACGCGCCGCGCGCTCCTGTTCACCGGTCGCTTCAGAGAACTCTTGATACGCGGGCCCCTCCAAGAAGGCCACGTTGATGTCAAGGGAAGCAATGGTCCACTGCTTCTTGCGCGCTGCCGCGCTGGCGAGCAATCGTCGGCTCGGCCGCCGCGCCTTTCCTGGGAACGTTTCTGCATCGAGG